TTTTTTTTTAATGAAAACAGTTATTTAATGTAGTAAGGATGCGGCTAAACGAATACTTTTTGAAACAAAGCAGAAACAAATCTTGCTTACGTTTGACATATCTAGAATTAACATATATCGGAAAAATGGAACAATTTTAAGTAAGTGGCCAACTTTATTAATACATCAATACTCGAAGCCGAGCATCAACAATTATCTGGCTTTGTCAAGGATTGGAATAACAAACTTATAGATCCAATAAGAACTCTTTAATATTGCCTAATTTTGTTTTCATGGAAATAAATTCGTTGTTATTACATGAAAGAAACTTCATACTATTTTCAAATCAAGCTATGATAAATTTAAAAGATTAAATAGAACCATAAAATGAAAAATATACACCCATGTATGCTATAATTATAATACAATGAATTAAATCGCTGAATCAAGGTAAGAAACAGGTAAATGCCATGTTTCATTTGAGCTATGTACATGAAAGTTAAAAAATAAACTCAGAGGGAAAGAGCCATTAGATTACATACGATTTCGACAAAAGTCCTTGGAACACTTTGAAAAACAGAACGAAAAGCCGTTTAGTCGATGTTCAACGAAATAGACGAGTATTTTTTTTTTGTTAAAACTCCAGATTTATTTAACAAGGAATATCCACAACAGTCCCGAGGAATCTTGACGAAAACTGTAGAAAGCCATTTTAATTTGTATATTTGTAAGATCTGTTGTAAACTTGCATAACTTGAAACAGACAATACAACCGTTAGCCAAAGAACGTTTCTTCAAAGATGTTACTTACAAAAGCGAGGACTTTTTAACGGCTGTTGAACTGAACATTTGGATTTTATATTTAACACCCAGTCATAGAAGCTACCTTAAATGTAACGGTTTAAAAATGCTCTCACTTCGACAATATTCAACCTGGTGTGTTAGAACTTCATGCAGTTATGTGAATTTAGCGTCACTCAATTCTGAAAATCACATGGTAGTTTCATGTAAGTGATGATTATCTCACGTCAGGGAGGTCATACAATTATGATGTAAAGTCCTTGTTCATGGTCCGCAACAGCGCCGCCTTACATTTTGGTAAAAACCTTTTTTCGATAGCTGTACACGTGAATTCGCTACTTTCTTCAAAAGTTAAGCAAAGCAAATAAAAACAGTTTTCCCAAGCAAACATATACACAAAACTTAGTATTGTACCCTAGCAAAATTTCGAAAATATACATTTTTTAAGTAAAGTTTTTTTTACATATTTAGCCTCCATCTTTGGCGTTTAACGCGTAAAAAAGCGAAATAAAAAAGCAAACAAACAGAGAAGTCAACTGAGATTGATGGTCCCTTGAGAAAAACTCAAAACCTTTCTATTTGAATGTGGCATTAATGTTTACTTTGCAACCAGGCATTCTACTCAATGATCGTTCTTGTGAACCTATCAGCATAACGGTTTACCCAGCGCATCGTACTTCATTTAAAACAAGCTTGATTCTCCTTAATTTGACACAAATCGATAAAACGTGCATTTAGCAGCAAATAATTCCATTTAAAGGTGACTCAAAGCTAAGCGAAAACATCTATCTTTCTGATACAGAGAATTTTGCGTTAACATCATCATTCACAATTCAAATGAAGACGCCTCTTTATGTCCCCACCTGTTTTAAACAGACCGTGCACGTTTTCCCCATAATTTTGAATGGCATCAATAATCTCATCTTACACTTAATTTAAATAGAATTACTCTTATCCTCTCCGACGCTTTTCCAGAACGGAAAACTCCCTTGTATTTCTCTCGCTACCTGAAGAACTCTTGACGCCCATATCTCTGGTGTTGGAAGTTTCAATTCCGAGTTCCGAGCCTTAATTTCAAGTCCTTTTCGTCTTGTCGGGTATCACTCCCTTCATTTGCAGAGACTCTTTATAGTGTGTATGTAAGTGAGTCTGTAAACTCCCTGACTGAGAGAACGCTTTAGAGCACTGCCAACATTTATAGGGTTTCTCGCCTGTGTGCGTGCGCATATGGCGTTTCAGGTCCGTAGAGCGTGCAAATGCCCTAGAACATTCTTGACACTTGTACGGTTTCTCTCCTGTGTGGTTGCGTAAATGCCTTTGAAGGTCAGTTGAACGAACGAACGCCCGCGAACATTGCGTACACTTGTAAGGACTCTCGCCTGAGGGAAAGATAGGGAACAATTTCAAAATCACAATTAAGCGATAATGTTACTATAATGAACAACCAGGGTGCACACCTGGGGGGGAGGGGGGGGGGCTCCCATATAAAAAAAGACCGGGCTACTCTTTGGAAATTTTGAAAAGAACTCCTGAGAGGTGCCACGATCGTGTTTTCTGAGCGTGGCTTGAAATTGTTTTCACCCCTAGGAGATACCAATTCTAAAACAACACATTATCTCCAGTCTTATTTTTCTCGGCTCAATACCCTAAAAAGTACCACCAAAGCTTCCCCTATGGACCTGTTGAGACTGAACACGCTAAGACGTACGAAAACCGCTTTTTAACCCCTTAAATGTACGACAAACACACTCGTCCTTTTTATATGGGCGTGCCCTCCCGGGGATGCAAAATGCCACAATGGGTCTTGTTCCTTCTATGTTACATACCTGTGTGGGATCTCATGTGTCTCCTCAGATAGCAAGGGTACTGGAAAGCTTTACTGCAGTACGAGCATTTCCAAGTGCGGCCAGTTTTATCCGGACACACATACTTCACATGACGCTCCAGGTAGCTCTCGTATGCGAAAATCTTGCCGCATTTGTAACATGTATAGCTCTCATCATCTTAGGGATGAGAAAGCAAACAACATCTGGTTAAAATCAAAGGAAACGACTATAGATCATTGAGTTCGATAATTCCATCACGAGAAGTTTCGAAAACTAAACTTAGATGGAATGTTATTCGGCGAATGGCAACCTTGTGCCCGCTTTCAAGAGAATAGCCCATTTAAAGGTTTGCTTTGCTTGTTTACATGACAAGGTAACGCAACGTGGATGCGAGGCAATTTCGGGCAGAAACGACAGAATTGCCCAAAGTTGCCTCGCATCCACGTTCGACTATTGTTATGCAAATGTCTGTTAAGTGTAGAAAGGCTAGGGATATTGAATGAAAATGACTCTGAGATAAATTTGTTGTGCGTGGGTCAAGTAAAGCTACAGATTCAAGCAACTTGAGAGATCACCAGTGCTGCTGGTCAAGAAGAGTCAATGGATTGTATACAGCCTGTATACAGCGGATTTCGTCCCGAGTAATCATACATTATCAAACCGATAAAAATAATCAACACCATAGACCAAGGATCGTCGTCCTGATGTAAAACAAAATTCTCATAACATATTAATTATGAGAATTTTGAAGAAATGTATTACAAAAGTAAAGAAAGTTGATATTTCCATCAAGGAAAGCTTGCCGTACCTGATTCTGTTCTACTAAGCTTTTTCTCAAGATACCATCTGAACAGTTTTGTTCGCTTGTCTTCCTTCAAGTGGACACTTTCTTGAAGATATTTCGTGATCTCTGTTTGAGACACGCCGGTCTCTTCAATCAGTTCTTTTTCCAAAGCCTTGTTGTTTTCCATGAACTCTCTGATTTCACGTCCGATAATTTCTTCTTTGCCTCTGAAAACCAATGACGTCATACATTCAGTCAATTAATGAGCACGCGAAAACTTTGACGGTCATCAGCAAAGTCACTAAATTCTAATCTTATTGCTTCGAAAACATAGGAACTTTTAAGCGTTGCAACACAATTTTAGTTTGTTTCGTTAGTATATTTGAAGTGGTCTCTCAGTCGATTTGGACATTTTTCTGAGATTGCTCAAAAAATGATAGAATTAAAACCTCAATGGAGGAGTACCCATGGTTCGTTCAAGATGAAAACAAATTGCATTGAGTTGAAATGTTCTCTGTCAAACGTACACAAGCCAAACTTAGGTCAATTTTTATAAAATGGTGTCTAATCCTGTGGAGCCAAACCAAATGTTTTGTCGCTTAGATTTAATTTTTAAAATGAAAACTTTAAGTTGAAAAATACAGATATCAAAGATATAGTCGAACCTCTCAACAACGGCTACCTTGGGGACAGAGTAAAGTGGCCGTTGTAGAGAGGGGTTGCAACATTAAACACGCACCAACGAAGCGCGTTACGGATCACATTTGGTGACCTTTTACAATAAAAATGGGCTTTGTATATACCGTTTCTCAGTCACTGATAAACTGGCCATTGTGAAGAAGTTATTTTGGCGGTCGGGACGCGTTTAGTGGCCGTTGTGGAGAGCTGGCCGTTGTTGAGAGGTTAAAAAGGAGAGTGAATGTATGGATTGTCCGCCGGGACCAAAAACGTGACCTTTGTAGAGAGGTGGACGTTAGTGGAGGCTCGACTCTAAAGTAAAAACTGAAAAAAGCTTTGAATTTTATGATACTTACTGCAACATCTTTTCCAGTTCCTCTTCCAGTTTGTGAAGTCTTGATGAGTTATTTTCATTCATGGTATTAACTGATCGTCTCGCTGCTTGCTTTTTTCTTTCCTTCAGATCATCACACTTTTCCTCTGCAGTTTCCTTGTCTTCAACTTTGACTTGTTCTCGCCTTAAACTTACGAAGCTGTCGCTAACACGCCGTTTAAACTTTGATTCGTGGACTTTACGAGGCTCTCTGAAAGTATCATTGTTTAGTTCGGCTTCATGCAATTCGCTGCTGTTGGTATCCCTGTGATCTACATTAACGTTCTTTGCACAAAACTCGTAGTCCGCCCGCCGCAGGCACAGCTCCGCAAGCGTGTGTAGTCCGCGTGTGTCAAGCGCGGGAAAAACAGACGGTTGGTTCCCGCCATTAGTGACGCGGGGCACTTGAGAGTTTGCGCCGGTTTCCAGGTTACACTGAATCGCCACATCGCCTAAAAAAAGATTTAAAGTTTTGAAACAGTCACTCTTGAAGGCTATAAAAAAAATAAAAAACTTAAATTCTTACTTGTTTTCCTGTCCATGATCAATCAGGTACCATCACAGATGTTATTAAAGGAACGGCAGGGTCAAACCAAGGCAAGATATAAGTTTTTCACAAAAGATTTGCTATTGAAAGCGTTTCTGTCACGTAAAATAACTCCAAATGCGCTTCGCTATTTTTTAGGCTTTAAAAGTTGAACGTTTCGAAGCCCGTTTGGGTTGATGCAAACCACTTTTGGCAGGTACTTCTTACAAGATTCGAGCTGTAAAATTCAGCGGTTTCTGAATTTGGTGTTCCGTTAAAAGACCTGCAAGCTTCAATCCTGGCTGATTTTCTAACTGAAACCGGCTCGGAGTGGCCAAAAACAAACTTTTCCGTCGAAGCCGCCACCGAGTTGGACAAGTAGTTGAATCTGTTTCCAAGAGAAGCGTTCTTATTTGAGACCTTCTTAAATGGAAAACCGCTAAGATTGGTTGTTTGTTTGTTCCTGTTGCAACAAAGTTAGCCAAATGACAACATACCGTAGTGTTATCTTACCTCAAGTTTTGCTTTTAGGGTGTCTTCACGTGGGATGACGTGATGCCATGAAATTTTACCTCGAACATATCCAATCTAACCTTTTCCTATCGCAAATTTTTTCATTTTGTTTTCAAACGAAAAGCCAGAAGTTATAAATACTTTAAATTTCGGTATCTGGCCGTTAAGATATTCTATTGTCAAATTGCGCGTCGTAAATATATGCGAGGATAAGATTAGAAATGCTCTCTCCAACAGTAATTAATTCAACTACATAACCTGATAATTATATTATCGATAAGAAAAAAAAAATTGTAAGAAAGATATTTTATCGGGGTTCCAGTGATCAAAGTTTTTCGCCGGCATGCGGTCACATTTCACAAGCTAACTATTACCATGGCAACCTAGACCAGAACCACTTGTTTCACATCAATCTTTTGATAGTGTAATCTCAATTACGTTATTCAATAACAGAAATCTCTCCAACTGCTTTGTTTAGCAAAAAGCCTTTGATTTTTAGGATATAAATCTGGATGAGAAGTTAAATTATGGCTCACTACTTACAAATCAAAGTGTTTTGCAAGACAAGTTCGTTAACACTGAGTCCGTTTTTCCAATCCAACAGAACTTAGTTATTTCCAATCTTTTCAGCGAAATGAAAGACCATGGACTTCATTACAGCCAAAAAGTCAAAAACGACAAAATAAGCAAAGCTTAAGCTAGCATTAAACGTGTTTCTCGGAGCGTGAAGATCTTTTCTTATCCCTATATTGAAGTCCAGGGCCTAACGGGTGGTCATGTCAACATAGTTAATCAACACAAACCGGTAATGCTTGATTCTGGACTCCTGTCCGGCTCTCCTTCCTCGATAACGTCCGATAACTCTTCATTATCTGTGAAAAAATTAAACAGCATTTTATGCGGTGTAGTTCGTAGAGAAATACGACGTAAAAGCTAGTTAACCGAGCTTGACAAACTAGCGCAAAGCTAAATTATTGATATCTGGTTGTGAGTTCACTACTTTCGCATACTCGCTGACTGAAGTAATCAGCGGTAACAAAAATCTCACTGAAAAATCTGCGCCTCAAGTTAAAAAAAACCCCCAGATAATTAACTCATTTCGTTTAATAAGACAATTACTTCAAATCTATGGATTAATTTTTTTTATTTACTTGTCAGACAGGCTGCCTTAATCCTGTTGAGTGGGTCGTGCTGACCCAACGAACCGCGGACTTGCGCCACAACAGAAATTAAAGAAGTCAAGTAAAATCAAATAAAATTCAACAAACTTGAATTTAAAAACACTTTGGCGCAAATGAGAGCTTAACTCCATACTAAGTTTAATGTTTCTAAGCTTTGAAAACGCGCTGACCTTTGGTAATGACAAGTTTCGCGGAGTCTGGTATGTTGGAATAACAGTACAGGTACTTACCATCATATCTCTCCTTCCTCTTGTTGCGAGAGGGCTTTTTCACAAGGAAAGATTTTGGCATATCACCGTGGCGTCCTCGAGTTGTCCTTCAAACTAACCCCACTACTCATCTAGCTACAAGGCAACTAAGGAGAGGAATCCCTCCTTCTTGCCTCAGATGACGTTATCAGCAGATTAGCTTTCCCTCCATTCGCGTCTCTCCTACAACTCCTAACACCGCTCCATCACTCAAACGCGTTACCGATACTGCGTTGAGCATGCGCGTGCGCGGTTCCCTGTTTCAAAACAAACCAGAAAAAGCGTGCGTTTCTTGCAGAGGAAAAATCTACGACGAACGGGGAGGAATTTCAAATCTAAACGCTCGCGTTGCCGTATGCAAGAGTTCTCCAAACCCTGGACGAGAAAATTCGAAGGTGGTCGAGTGTTGTTGATGTTACCCCGCTAGCTGTTTGGAGAAATTTCCGACCGCCCAACCGGGCAGATTGAATAAGTCAATAATTACGTCACGGTCAGGCGTACGGTTAGGTAATAGAGTTGAATGTCTTACGCTTAGCGTCATGCACCAAGATTAACCACTCTCTCACTTCTACTCAGCGCAAATCACTCAAACTTCTTCCCTTTTCGAGCCAGCAACGTTTATCTCAAAGCGGTCAGTGTTGTGGTTAATTCCAGCCGTCGTAGACGCAAATTTTGACCCGTGTTGGAACTTGGAGTTCCCTGGTATGACACTTGGCGTTCACCGGTCCTTGAATATCCCGCGCTTGAGCCGTTTTAGCTGTTGACACGGTCTCCAGCGGCAGGCTAGTGTCTAGCTCGCAGGTGGCCGACAGAAGTGCGTGTCAACAATGAGCAGCACCGTGTTCAATGTGATAAGATCAGAATAAATTGAACAACACTAGCCCAGCAACTTGGGTTAAGTACATCTGTTAAGCGCTTGAATTTGGGGTCGAAAATTGTCCTTGGTCACAAGTATGTTGTGTGCAATCCTGACATTCTCGATAAGGAAAGGTTTACATATGTTTGAATGGACGAAAAACCCGTGATTTACGGTTCCTTTGAGCTGTTTACAGTGCGTCTTTCAGGCGGTAATGGGTTAAACATAGCATACAAGAATCACTGTCATGACCATCGCTGAGAGAACGCAAACTTTTAGATATTTTTTTCTGTCTTCAGGAAATATAAACGCGAACGTAAGAATTCAACTGGTTTTAGTTGATTTAATCAGTTGAACTTTAAGGTTTTGCATTTGACATATACCTACAATATACGGTGCATGTTTTTTGAAGAATCAGATCGTTAAAAAGTTCGCCAGTGTAATAACTCAATATTGATTGAGCAAGTAGGTTTAATGTCCATTCTCTTGAATTTAAAGAAAAAAAAACCGTTTAAAAGGCTTTCAGCAACGACGTGAATCGTCTATTTTCAGTACATGATTTTAGTAACGTCATTAACCTTGACATCTCAAGAGAGAATTTGGACAACTTTTGACAATTAAAATGTCAGGGGTTAACAGGCAATAAAGCCATTAACACAAGATTTAATCAGTGAAGAACAGGCGTCATGAGATTAGCTAGGAAAATAATCGTAATTCTTTGCTTTTATATTCAGCGAAGTTTCGTAGGAAATCTGAACTTCAGACAGGCTAAGAGAAACTGAAAAAGCTCTTGTTTATCTCGAGGTTCTCATATTTGTTGTGCCTCGTAACGGTTGTAATTTTTCTAGGCAGGTCTTTTCACCGGTTGCTTATTGGATCTGAGCTCGCATCATCGCCACCAAAACAAATTACGCTTGATTCAGTTCTCCTAGTCAGTGAAATAAAATAGTTTGCTGGCTCTTTTTCGTGATCGAACTGGAAGAACGAAAATGT